GAAGCTGAGGCATCTGATATTTCTGAATGCCAACCTGCACTAAAGACTAAAGTGTCTTAATGTTAAGACGTTTGCCTTTATTTATTTGTTTGCTATGGTTCTGTGTTCAATTGTTCAATTAAAGTTTTATTAAAATGTTAAATAATAGTATCTGTGCATTATTATTTTTTGTAACAAATAAAAATGCATAAAAATAAGGCTTTTATAAAAAAAAACTGAATAAAAAAATTGCTTACCAACACACAAACCATTCACAACTGCTAAATTGGGCTAAAATAGAAGGCTCCGAGTGATACTAAATAAAGAGCCATTTGAGAGCCGTAAGAGCCGGCTCTTCTAAGGGAGCAGAGCCAAAAGAGCCGAACTTCCCATCACTATGTACGTGCGCTCATCCGAAGCGTGCAAACCCGCGCCTCAGAATGCTAGCAAATATTCAACTTTCTCTGAAGTATTGTTTAAGCGTGCAAATATTAAGCTCTCTCTGAAGTATTGTGTTTGAATGGACAAATTCACACAAAAATTATGTCAAAATGCCTGTCTTGGTAAATATCCTATTGCAGACATAGCCGGCTGAACGTACTGTATCAGTGCATTCTCTTAAAATGATGTCACTTTCTTAATATTAATCAAACCGCAACAACAAAGAAATCACTCACTGCTCTTGATTGAATAGCTTTTGTAATTTAAGAAAGATTAATCTTTAATTTATACAGTCAAATATGCAATGCTGTTTTACATTTCATTACTTTATTCAATTTCTGTACCTGAAAACTAATGTTACACCTACCTAAAAAAAACCCTGAAAATCACTGTTTATTTTTTGTATCTTTACTCCATTGTATTTATTTGTGCTGTTGCTTGTAGTTAGATTATTCTTATTTTCTTTATTTTTATTTGACAGTATAGTTTTGGCTAAACATAGCACATACCGAAACCATGACTCTAAAACCGTGATACAAACCGAACCGACTGCAAGGGTACTACCACGATCAACGTCCAGAAACGTAGCAAGAAGATCTGTAAAATAATGCATGTGACATCAGGGGTTCAACCGTCATTTTACGAAGCTACGAGAATACTTTTTGTGCGCAAAAGAAAAAAAAAGCTACTTTATTCAACAATTCGTCTCCTCCGAATTGTTGGCGCCATTTTGGAGAGTATCCACTGAACGCAAAGAGCGTATGTTGTTCTGTGTCAGCCGCATCACACGGATATGTTGTTTTCGTTCAAATCAAAGCACAAACAATGTAGAAAACGTATCCGCGTGGCACAGCTGACACAGAACAGCATTTTTTTTTTTTTCTTCAGTTGCGCACAAAGTATTCACGTAGCTTTGTAATATTACGGTTGAACCCGTGATGTCACATGGATTATTTTACCGATGTCCTTGCTACGTTTCTGTGCGTTGATCATGGTAATATCCTTGCTGTCTATGGGAGGGTCGGAGAGCTCTCAGATTCCATCAAAAATATCTTAATTTGTGTTCTGATGATGAACGGAGGTCTTGCGGGTTTGGAACGACATTATGGACTATTACGGGGCATGATGGGCGAGTAATTAATGACAGAATTTTTGGGTGAACTATCCCTTTAAGAGATTAAGTCGGCGACACTGACTCCGCAGTAGTGGATGCATTTCATACGGGTTACGTAATCTGAGAATTTGTTTTCCATTTGAATTGGTTCATTTGAAAGTACACATTTCACTCTCTATACTGTAGATATATTTTTAATGTCTTGAGTTTTGCACTCAAGTTCAGACCAAGACGGCAGAAAGCGCATGTTTGCTTTCATTATTTTACGAAGGCGTGGTATTGTGAGTGCACACAAATAAACGTAGTCTTTACAGTTTTGAAAGATGTATTACTCTTATCTGTATGACCAAAAATGACCAGTATTTTAAGAGCAAGTGAGCGCTACTGTTCAGCTTCCACACTCCGCACAGACACTTGAACAGCACACATTTCTCTAGGTTAACATTAGATTGAGCGGCCATGTAAAGTTGCTAATACTTGCATATTTCAGATGGTAAGCCATATTTGAGAGGTCGATGAATGATAGTCGAGCATTTAGATGTCCTGCCCGTCGATGAACTGCATTACCATAGACTAGCCGTTAACGATCTGTTAGTCACAGACTGCGTGACTTCGCCCGTGGATTATTTTTCTTTCTGAGACTAATAAAATTTGTCGACCAAACCTCTTCTGTTTGACTAACGATTAGTCGACTATTAGGGGGCAGCCCTACTATGTACTGGTTCTGTAATTATACATGTTCTTGTGACATGTCATGTTTCATGTTTGGTTGTGTCCTATAGGAAACCCACTTGCACAAGAAATCTTGAACCTCTACCAAGAGCCTGATGGGACACGTCGGCTACTCAACTACCTGCTGGACAATCTTGCAGGCACCAAACGTGGTGAGTTAACCCTTGTACAGCTGCCCCGCTTGTGTGGCAAGCACTGAAAAGCTTCTATTCTTGTACATGCTCTTTAGAACAGATTAATTTCATGCAATGAAATGAGTCATGGCATTGTTGTCTGATTGAACATTTTCTTTTGATTCTCTCTGAATTACTGTGGAGATAATTACTATGTTCTTGCATGGCAATGCGGCGGTCAGACCATTTCCATTGTGTCATTGCTCAGTTTTTACTGAAAAGTTCACTCACTGAGTGTATTATTTATTTATTTTTTTCGCCATAGTACCTATAGAACAGCCACCACCTCGCTCATGGATACCACTGCAGGAGCACGACAGAACACGGCCAGCAGGTGAGACCCTTTCACTTCAGTTCACATTGTGTTACACAAGTCATCACTGCACCATTTACTCTCACTTCTCTTTTACTCTGGTGCAGAGTAGTAATGTGAGTTGTCTTTTCTAATAATAAAGTGCAAGACATCCTCAAAGCATGGCTTAGAGGCAGTTTTACTTCATGAGGGACCTAGGGCTGCACAATTAATCTAATCATTTTTAATTTGTGATAAGGTTATGTTTGATTTTATTAGACCAAAAAAATTATTTGATTTGGCTGAGATTTTTTATTAGACATAGTCTGCAGGCACTATGTCTGTAATATACTTCAAGCACATGTGAGGATCTTGATATGGTGTTTTAGCCATCTGAGTTTGGTTTGCTTCTAATCTAGAGCTCTAAGAAACCTTTTTATTTCTCCCAGTTCTGTGTTTTCTGATTTAATGGTTTAAGCATCGAAAAGCATGTCTAATCGATTGAATTCCTAACTAATGACTTTAAGGCCCTTTGAAATTCTTCCCCTTTTCCCAAGTTCCATTTTAATACAAAAAAAAAAAAAATTTTTCTTGATTAGAACAAATTTATCAAACTGTAGTCCGTAAATGAGTTCATAATGTAACAATATTTTAAAACTATAAGCAAATAAAAAAATAACTAAAAATTTTAATTAATTTTTTTTTTTTATTATTATCACTGCTACTACTTTGAGAAGTGAATTTTTACATTAATTTTGTCATTTTTAAATTAAATGTAATGTTTATTTTGGTGGTTTGTAGTTAAGACTGCCAAATTATGTGAATTCCTTAAATGTCATGAAACCCTAAAACACATTTTGAGATGTTAACCTATATGAACAGGTTGCACATCAGTGAAAACGACAATAACACTCGTATCAATTTTTTTTTTTTCATATTTTTTTCTTCAGTGTTTTATGCCTTTTATTTAGATAGGACAGTAGGGTCAACAGGAAGCGAAGTGGGTGAGAAAGAGGGGGGTGGGATCGGGAAATGTCCGCAAGGCGGGACTCGAACTCGGGATGCCCGAAGCGCAACGACGCTACATGTTGGCGCGCTGCCCATGAGGCCATCGGCGCCGACAACATTCGTATCTATTATTAAGGTAAAAGTGGTTATTTTTCCATTTTTGGAGCAGTTTTGTTCTTCCGGTTCAAAAAGCAACACGAAAAGTGACGTGTATATGCATTAATTTGCAGTGGCGATTGGCTGCTGTGGCTGGAGAGTACATGTCTACGTCATCAGTTCTCCATATTATTCATGAGAATTAAGTTTTATGATCCAATCACTGCGCTGTATTATGCATGAGGTCGTCTCACAGCGGAGAATTCAAATCTCATGAAAGAGCTTCCGCGTTGTCAGTTCACCTCTGTAAACATGACCGTAACAATATTTAATATGTAACGGCATGTGGAGCGTGCATGACAATGCCACGATGAGTTTAACCATAGTCTTTGGTTTAAAGGGGTCATATGATGCGATTTCAAGTTTTCCTTTCTCTTTGGAGTGTTACAAGCTCTTGGTGCATAAAGAAGATCTGTAAAGTTGCAAAGACTAAAGTCTCAAATCCAAAGAGATATTCTATATAAAAGTTAAGAGTCAGCCACGCCTACCTAAAACGGTTCGTTCTAACACGCCCCCACATATCTATGTCACTGTGGAAATATTAGCATAATGCCGCCCAAATGTGCACACAAAGAAAGAAGGTGTGGTTTCAGGAACAGCAGCTGTGTTGATGCAGCCATGTCAGTGAGACGCTGTGTTTCTCAGTGCAAAAGCACTTTATTTGGCCTTCCGGAAGTAGATGCAATTAGGAATCATTGGTTAA